AGGACAGCCCCCAAGGGGGGAGTTGGATTTTCCCCAGGGTTGTTGGCCATTCCCCCCCCTCCCCCTTTCCCTTTTAAAAATTTAAAACCCCCCCCCCCCCCCCCCCCCCCCCCCCCTCTGAGGAACACACGCTTTGGGCTTTCACCCCAAGCCTCCCTTAGTATCAGGAGTTAGTCTCTAGGACAAGCTCGAAACTTACTAAATATGGAATGGCGCTAGAATGTAAATTTGGACACGGGACGAACACCATTGTGTTCAAGCCACCCTCTACATTCCGTAGATATGCCAAATAAGCAAATCTGAACACTTTCCATAAATAGCATTTGGGATCGAAATGAAACTAACACAAAGGGCATGATAGCGAGGGTGTTTGGCAGACACGGTAAGCTATCATATAGCGAATATTGAGGGACCAAGCTCAATATCACGGGGGTTCTTGATACTAACAAGTGCAAATCAATGACAGAAGTTTCTCAAATCGGGCCGAGTATGCTTAGCAAGAAACACATAGAAGTTCCTACCTTATGTTTATCTGATTTAAGTGCACGGTCAATGACCAGTTTCTCAACTAGCTCAAGTGGGAACTGATAATGGGTCTAGCAATACCGACCTCCTGCCATCATGGCAGTAAAAAAAGAATATCCAAAAGTACTAGCCAACAGGTAACTTTCGATACCCGAAATCACATTCGCGACATTCCTAGGTATGATTATGATTATATTAATCTAGATTGTAGGGATTAGTCTATTAGTTTAGGTAGTTATTGTTGCACTCTCTTATAAACTTTTCTTAGCTTAAACTAGGTAGTGTGAATGCAAGGTTAAGGTTTTATGAAGTTAATTGTTGCAAATCATCTCTCAAAGAAAAAATGATGATTTACATATTTAATCCTTCGTTATTGATAACTTTCTTTTGTGGTCTCATAATTTCATTGCTTATATTCACATAATGCAATTGAGTAGTTTGGCTTTACAAGTGGCAAATGGGTACAATATTCAAGTCTTTCCTAGGAAACTTTGTTATTGCTCCATAAGAAGCTATATTGGATTAGTTTTGAGTTTAGTTAAAAAGAGAGTGGTCTAAACTTATTTGTATTATGAATAAAGTTGGTGGTGCTGTGTCATAAATCTGTATTAGTGTGTGGTATTTATATTGCATTTTATTGTTGGAGTTGGCACTAGATACTAGTTTAAATCTTTGTAGTAGCAACATAGTTCAAGATATTGCTTATGTGGTATTGTTCAAATAATGACTAAGTCATTGTAATTTTTATATCATATTCTTTTGATTGTGAGCAATGTGTTTATAAAGTTGTTTGGTCAAATGATGATCAACGCCAATGTGATTGATGGTGATGCTAATTTACTTGCAAGTAGTAAAATTATGATCTATTATGCTAAGTTAGTATTGGTACCTTAGTTCTTTGTGAGTTTGCCTATTAAGTGTTAAAAAAGGTTATAACATTCATATGTTATAACTTGTTGGTGAATTTCTTAGCACTTAGATTGACGGGTAAAAAAGATATGTAGTTAAGGCATTAATATTACTAGCACTTATGTTGGTGGAAATGACATTATTATATTAAATGATAAAGTGTTTATTTGAAAACTCGTATTTTTATGTCATTTTCCTTATTAGTGTTCTAGCTTCATGCTAAATCTTGAAAGTGATTGAATAAAAGTGTTAGTCTAATATGGATATTTGAAGATATAATCTTTATAATCAAATCTTGGATATTCATTTTGATTTGTGAATATAGATCTTGGATATTAGATATATAGGCATGTTATGAACATACTATTGGGTTGGTTGAGTTATGAAAATTTATATTCCTAGACAGAAATTTAATCTTTCTCTAAGATGGAGAATTTTTATAGATTTTCATTAAACTTTTCCAATGGCTAATCTTATATTAATCATTTTACTTAAAAACCATTCCATTTTTATAAACCATTACAAGTTAGTGAAGAGGTTAAAGTTGAGGTCAAAGTTTAGTTAGCCTACACTTTAGCAAGTATTTTATGTAATATGAACCAAATAAAATACTAACTTTTGAGGCTAAGGCAATTAAGTTGGATGAAGTTTAAATTTAAAGTAAAAAGTGGTTGTTACACTTTTCTAGGAAGTGACCCTTGTGTTTTTCTTTTTTAATATTATGTTTAATGGCAAATTGCACCTTATATCTAATTAAACTTTATGAGAGCAATGAGATCTCATTAATGTAACATGGTTTAGTGGCCTTGCATTTTGGCTAAGGATGGTGATATTTAACTTAATTGTTTATGGTTGTGGTGTTAGTACTTGTATTGTAACTTTATTTATTAAGAGTTTGTGTACTTATATAGCCCATAAGTTCTATTATGATACTTGGAGTTATTGGCTAGATATTTTAGTGAGTTTATTATTGTATAATTAAATTTTAATAGTTTGTAGATGATCATATTATTGGGCTTGCACAATTTTTCCATGTCAATTCCACCTCTATTAATATTGTTTGGTTTCGTTTACTCTATAGTGTTAGTTTGTATTGAGTCTTAGATGTAGTGATTTATTCCTTGATAATGTGTTATTTATAGTTGAGTATTGTTGAAAGATTAGTCTTGGATACTAAATAAAATATTTTTTACTATAGTTAGTTTGATTTTAAAAAAGTTTTGAGTGGTGGTTTGATCTTTTTTGTTTCTAACCTTTTTTTGTGTTCATAGCATTAAAGTGAACATTGATATTGTTCACATTGAGATTGGAGTGAGTTGAGATGTTTCTCCATAAGCATAATTGATAGTTTGGATATACCTTTTTTGTCATTAGAATTCGTGAGATTACTTAGTAAGTGTTGAGTTTTGACTTTTTCTTGAAAAGTGATTTAATTATAAACTATACTAACTTTGTAAAAGGAAAAGTTAATGATCAATATTGAAGTTATTAGGTCTATTTTTGTTTGAGTTGATGATACTTATTGCCCTTGTTATGAAATAAGTTATATTTTGATCTATACATGGATTTATAGAGGATTTGTTTGGTGATCATTTACTGAATACAATTTAGTCGTGCTTAATTTTTGGATTAATGTAGATATACTTTTCATTATCCTTTACATTATAAAGTTTTGACTTATGGATATGCTAAGAAAGATGTTGTGGGTTACACCATGATTTCTTCTTTAAAATTTAAAATTACTTGATGTAAAACTTATGAATATTATATAAAACTTGGATATAGGCTTTTTTGAACTTTTAGTTCTTTAAGTTAAAATACTCATTAATCCATTTATTAAAAGTTGTGAAGGAAGGTCTCTATACTTTTGCTCCTTCGCTCCTTAGCTATATGCTTGGGTGTTTTGTGCTATAGTTCTTTCACTCCTTAATTATATACTTAAGAATTTATTTTTATCCCTTCATTACATAAGGCTGCCCTTGGCACATATATTCAAGAGTTAGGTTTCACTCTATAGTTATCTTATAATAATTTACCATAGGGTATAAGCTAGAAACCATATATGTTATAGTATCAAGTTTAAAATATGATTAAATTTCATCCTAATTATTGTAGCATTTCTATTTAAATTCACTTCTATTACTCAAGAGGTAGGGAGTTCAATACCTAATACTATATTACAATATCTAGGTACTATTAAGTTAACTCTTTATTCTCATCCTCTAGTTATGTCATTAGGCATATAGTGCTTGTAAAGATTATAGAGGTAGATAACTAGCATCTTTCTTGAATTTAGCATGTACTTCTTGTAAGGATCATTGGATAATTAATACCTTTGTGAAGTCCTCTTTGCTGGATTATAAACCTCATCCCAGAAAGTGTTATATAATATTATGATTATATGCAACATCCAACTAAATTAGAATCAAACTAAGAGAAAAGATCCATATATTAGAAACACCATCATGGGAAGAGGTGTCAGCTTTAACATAATCAACTTGGATCAATTTTATAAATATAAATGCTTAAGAGTCTTGAAGTCTTGCCATTGATATTTCATTTATGACCACTATGACTACTAACTTAGTCATGATGAGTCCTTTGTTGTCATATTCTTGATGCAATAGTAGTCTAAAAAAAAGAAACTAGTGGGGAGATATGCTAAAAAATACTATATATCTCTTAGCATACTAATATATTTGAGTAATAGAAGTCTCTAGACGAATTGTATATTCCTAAAGTCTATCATACTTGGAACCATTAGAGTACCAACACCTGGAACTATTGGTGTAATAAGAATTTTGCTAGCTTGGAAAAAAATTAATGATATAATTTTTTTGTCAAAGGCAATTATAGTGTATGTGATCATGGGATGAGATTTGAATATATTATCACTATGAATTCTTGGAACTCTAAAGGATAAAATAGCCATTAAAGACTCTCTCATTAAGCAATTACCATTTTTCTAATTGAGAAAGGTATCAAAGAAAATGGCACAAGTAATGCACAAGTAATATAATTATAATTACATTGTATTATAATGTATTTAGAATATAATATTAAATTGAAATCATATATAATAAGTATCCATTAGTACATCCTTTATCTTGCCTAGCCCCATTTGCAAGCCATTATAGGATTTACACATTTTTTAGTTGAAGATTGCTATACAAACTACATACTATACATTAAGACACATAACCAGCCAAAAAACTTCTCTAGTTGAATATGGGCTTAAGTCTATAACAAGACTAATCTAACTAGAACTAGAACTTTGTACAATACATACTCTATTGCATTGAACTATATGATTGGACTAAGACACTGCATGGATATCACCTCAGAGGCATCAGGAATGCAAGAGCAGGGACACACTTAATTATAAATGTTCCACCCAACTGTTGGCAAGCAATACCACCGCGCCACTGCCGGGTTGTCTTCCAAGAATTTGGGAACCCACCTCAGCTCCAAGCTTAAGATCTGTGTGGCTTCTGCAGGCAGCGGCAAAGCACACCCAGTCCAGAGCCTTGGCAATAAAGGGCATGGTACGCAACAGTTCCAGGGCGTCGCCAAGATAGCCCGAGCGGCCCAAGAGATCAACCATGCTCGAGTAGTGGTGCCTGCGAGGCTCCACTCCATAGTCAAATCTCATCGATGCCAGGAAGGTCCGGCCCTGCTTCACTCGTCCCTTCTTGCTGCAAACGCTCAGAATCGACAGGAAGCAAACATGGTCGGGATGATGCTCCATGTTTGCTGAATGAAAGAGAAAGAATGGATCGTTAGCACCATCACATCGATCTTTATGCTCATTTTGGGATGAGAAGGACGAGGAGACGGCTGCCAGCATTGAGCTCCACGACACGATGGAGCTCTCCGGCATTGCGCGGAACAAAGATTTTGCCTTTCCCAGATGCCCAAGCTGGGCATATGCATGAAGCATCAGATTCCAGGAGCGCTGGTCACGGTCAGGCATTTCCATGAAAAAAGACGTACTATCAAACACTAATCCATCTTGTGCGTACGCTGCTAACATTATGTTATAAGACGTCAAGCATTTAGTTTGCATGGAGTTAAACCATTGTCGTGCTTCGTCCAGATACCCGTTCTCGGCATATCCTCCAAGGATAGTGTTACAAGTCACCGTAGTAACGTATGGCATTTGGTTGTAAACAAGCCTAGCGTTCTCAAGCTGCTTGTGACGTACGTACGCTACTACTACTGCCGTAAAAGTATACATGTCTCTTTGCGGAATGATATTAAAAAGGTTCTCAGTTTCATGCAGTTCCCCTAAACGGGCATTTGCGTTAAGTATGATGTTCCAGCAAAAAAGATCACGGCATGGCATTGTATCAAAAAGAAACTTTGCTTCGCTAAAATTATTAGATTGGGTGTAAGAAAGTAAAATAGCGGTCCAGGACAGTAGATCATGCTCTGGCATCTCATGGAGTAAACTTTTAGCAAGATCACATTGCCCTGACTGGGCATACACATAGAGCATTGCATTGCAGCAAATCACGTCAAAGTATGGCATCTCCGAGAAAATCCGGCTGGCATGGTGCGAATATCCTTCTTCCGCCGCCAATCGAAGCATCGCTGTGGCGGAGGCGAGGCTGTGCTGTGGCATCGAGTCGAAGAAACGCCGCGCCGCCTCCAAATGCCGCGCTTGGGCATAGGCGATGAGCATGAGATCCCAGGTGTAGCGATCCCTGGGCGCCACGCGATCAAACACCTCGCGCGCGCGAGCCGGATCGCCGCAGTTGCCATACATCTCGATGAGCTTGTTGAGGAGGAATGTGTCGCGGCTGGCGGCGACGCGCGAGTGCAAGCGCCGGGCTCGCGAGAGGGATCGGCAGTCGCGGAGGCGGTGGAGGAATTCCTGGCGGCGATCACACTCCTGGAGCATCGAAATGGATGATCGATCAAAGAGGAAGAAGAAGAAGAAGAGTCATTTCAGCTACCTATCCAACGTTCGATTCCGAGCGTTGACGAGAATATAAAATATAATGGCGAAGGAAGGCACGTCGCCGCGATGACGATGACGCTGCGTTCTTTGATTTGTTCGTCGCCAATGAAGGATGGATGGATCGTCGCGTTGCCGCGCGGCGGCACCCTGGCGGCGCCGCTCGCCGTGTCCTCGTAGCCGGTGCACTCTAAAGAATCCCTCTTTCTCTTCCCCTCCTCTTTCTTGTTCTTGCAAGAAATCTCTTTCATTTCCCGGATGCGTTCCCAGGGCGCGGTACCAAGCCGCGGCAGGAAATAGGGTTACGCCGATCGATGGATCGACAGGAGAATCCCAGGTACAGTAAGAGGCTGCGAGCCAAGGCGGAGGAGAAATCCCCGGTGAAGCGCGAGCCGCCAAATGCGGATGAAATCCTCCTCCGCTCGGCGCTGGATCGGCCGGAATACCATCCGGATTTTGGGATCGTGATGAGCGCCCAGCAGCTGGACGAATTGCGGCGCCAGATCGCCGTCTACGCCACGATCTGCCAGCAGCTGGTGGAGATGCACAAGGCGTCAATGGCGAATCCCAACGGTATGGTCTTATAGGTACCATTTTTTTTTCCTTTTCGCTTAGCTTAGAACGAAAGAGAACTAAGGACAAAGTTTATATGATGGACAGGAGCTTCTAGCTCTAGACCACCGCCGCCATCGCCGCTACCACCGCCGCCGCTGCCGCCGCCGCCGCCCGTGAAAGCCACCACTCGCCAGAGGTGGGCGCCCAGCCAGGCCCAGGTCAAGCTCCTCGAGAGCCTCTACGACGTTGGAATGGGGACGCCACACAAGCAGCGAGTGCGAGAGATCACGGCGGAGCTCAGCCAGCTTGGGCCGGTGAACGAGTCCAACGTTTACAACTGGTTCCAGAACCGAAAGGCCAGGACGAGGAGGAGGAATCGGCAGCAGCCGAGTGCTCTGGGAGGCCCGGAGCCACAGCACTTTCCTCACAGGGAGCTCGAGGAGGTGGATTCGGAGGTGGACGCCATGGAAGGTGGTGGCGCTCGTGGGTCTCCGGGAGTGGTGAAAATGCTCAAGCCAGAGGGCGCTGGTCCATCAACCGAGCACGCTCCACACTCCAACACAAGTCTCCTGTGACGGTTTTTCGATGCAGTTCTTCGGCTTGTTTTTTTTTTTTTTTTTTTTTTGTTGCTCGAGGACTTATATACCGAAATTGTGCAGGTTTTCGGTCGTCCTCTCGAAGTAAGACAAAATTTTGCAACTGAAAATTGTTGTTTTTTTTTTCTTTTTTCTTCAGTGTCAAGCGGTCCGTGGTTCAATTCCAGCCATTTTGACGTCGTGACATTATTTTGTGGTGTCTGGGACAACGGCGCTGCTGCGCCATAGCTCCAGGTAAAGTGTGTGTGTGGTAGTCTGGTTTAAGCTCTTAGAGCTGCTTTGGAACATGTTTGGAGCTATGCTCTCTAGCGAGCCGAGCTGAAACGACGCATTCCATCACAGATTAGGTCTCAGCAGCTTAGGAACAGTGTTCGATTGTTTGAGCAAGAGTCACTGACTGAAGATTTGTTTGTGTTTTTTTTGTTTTCTTTGTTTTTTGAGCAGAGAACTATGGCTTGTACTCTTACTCAGGTAGCGCATTTGTGGCCCTCTACTTCACAAGTATCGAGATTCAACACAATCTTTGCTGGTAAGTTTGCTATTTCCTCGTTGCTCCTCGACCGCTCATCTGTTTTCCATGAACCAGAGGCAGATAAGTGTCACAAATGCTTCACGAGGATAATTGCGAGCCATGCAGTCCGTGCAGCCTTACCCGGTGGCCTCGGTGGTGGCGTTCTCGACAAGCCTGCGATTGAAACGGCCCCGACCCCAGGCCGTGAATCAGAGTTCGACCTCCGGTAAGTGGAAAGTTTTCACGAACTTTGAGCCGGACGTGAGTGACCTTACTGCTTTCGAACTCCAGGAAGAAGAAGAAGATGGCTCCTCCCTACCGGGTCATTCTCCACAACGACAACTTTAACCGGCGGGAGTACGTCGTCCAGGTGCTGATGAAGGTGATCCCGGGGATGACTCTGGACAACGCGGTGAACATAATGCAAGAAGCGCACCACAACGGGCTGTCGGTAGTCATAGTTTGCTCCCAGGAGGACGCGGAAGAGCACTGCACGCAGCTCAGAGCCAACGGCCTGTTGAGCTCCATAGAGCCGGCGAGCGGTGGAAGCTGCTGAACAGGAAAAAAAGGTTTTTGGAGGACTGGTGGTGCTGCTGCTGTACATGGGGGACGGACGGGAACGCTTTTAGGCTGGTATCTGTACAATGGATTCAGAGGCTAGATTGCTACTCAAATTAGAAGAACAGAGAATAGAGAGACCGCACGCATCAGTATCAACGGGGGACTCGAAAAACAGGCCGATAGGATAGCGAGGGCGTGAAAGTTTGTCTGGGAAGGAAGGAGACAAGGCTTATCATTCTTATCTTTCGGGTGTCTAGCTTGTCCGTGCTTGTCCTTGGCTGACCAAGAAGTTAAGATGTTTGCTTGATGGTTTGTTTTTGCAGCTGTAGGCCGGGCATGCACGTACCGGAGAGGACGATACCAATGTCATCATCGTGCGTGAGTGTCTCCTTTGTTCGTTTTTCTTCTTTTTCTCTTGCCTTGACTGACTTGATTCGTGCTTGTTGGCAGTAAATCGCAGCGACGCGAAGGGAATTTTCCTGCTGTTGGAGCTACAGGGCCTGTCAAGGTCGGTATTGTGGAGCATCTTTTATTTTTCTTGTACAGGCAGTCCCCGACAAGGCGAGCTCGAATCGGGAACGATCGTCAAAACGGTACAAAAGGATTTTGCTGCTTTAGGGGAGTGGATTCTCACGAATCCCCTCCCGCTTACTTACGACCTTTAGCACTTGTTCTACAGCTCTTGTTTGCCGCGAGAAGTGTCAGCGGTCATGGCTTGGAAGTCGGAGGAATCAAAAGAAAATGATGATCATAGGCTATGCGAAGACTGTCCCTCCGCCGCTACATCACCAAGCGCTATGCTTACGTGCGTAGTGCCCTGTCACAATCATTTGGAAGAAACAACAACGAAAAAAAAGAGAAGGGGTGCATGGAAGTCGAAGTGGCTTGCTTGCTTTTGCTTTTGCTTTTCGGCTAAGTACTTACAAAGGATTAGTTTGACCGGGAGGACTTTCGTTGACCGGCTGGAAGAATGTTCTGTAGGATCAGTCAGGACTTAACTTACAAGAATTGAAAAAGGTGGCAATTGTCTTTGCACAAAGTTTCAAGGGTTAAAGACACATGTCCAGCTTTGACTGAAACCAGCAAGCCAGAAAGAGGCAGTCAAACATGTACCTGAAACCCAACTATAAACTTTTTCCATCGTTTTTTCTTTCCATTGTCATTCATTCATTTTTGTGAAGAGTTCCTGCTTTGCTCTAATCTGTTTTAAGAAGTGAGTGGATTGCTAGACTGGATTGGAGGCGCCTTTGGGATTTGGAAGGTGGGGTCTTAAGTTCAACTTTTTTCTTCCCGGGGTCAACAACACTGCTACTACAAAACGAGGAAAATTTTGATCTTTCTCGTTACGTACAGGGCGCCCGTACCGCAGGCCCGTGGAGGCGGGGATATATTCTCTTATCGCTTGCCAGTAGTGGCTAGCACTAGTGAATTTCTTTCCCTTTTCTCAGACCTCTTTTTGCTTGCTTCAATTCGTTCTTTTCTTTGACTCTTTTCTCCAAATTTTCGTGTCAGCCTTCTCGTTGTCTGTAGCACGCACTAGCGAGTTTGGAAGATCCTTGGATTGCGGCTTTGCTTATCAGGGCGAGTTAATGGTGTTTGATCCTCTTTGGCCTGGTTGACTGACCGTTCGATCCTTCCATGGAACTAGAAGAAATGCCGCTAATGTTCCAGAGATAGAACTTTGACCAGGGAGTCCAAACCACAAACTCCCAGGCCAGGTACCAACAACACCAACACTACAGGAAACGAAAAAAAAAAAACAAGAGAGATGGGAATCTGCATTGATGAACAAAGTGGTACCATCTTTTACGCATTTAAGTGCCATGCAGAGTTTCGAGCTTTCTTATTGTTTTTCGTTTTTTACCTTTTGTATGTACATAGATAGTTCTGACGATTCTCTCTTTTTTTTTCGTATACTAGACTTGTAGATATGGAATGGAACCAGGCGAAGCTAGGAATCCCTGGAACGGCTGGTGAACCAAGTCGAGATCGGGTTCTTGCTGCTCCAGCTTTGGCGGTCTCGACATGACCATGCTGCTTAGATCTTGGGGCGGGCTTGTGTGGTAAAACCCCGAGCCGAAGTTTTCACTAGAGCTAGCGCTACTGCCGAAGTTAAACGACGGAGCCGCCGGTGGTAGCTCCCGGTTCATCGAGAACATGTTCGTCACGCACGACGATGGCGAGCCCAGGCTCCCAAACGAGGCGTTAAACTGGTGGAAGTGCTGGTTCATCGCCTGTTGCTGCGAGTGTTGGTGGTGGTGGTGGTGGTTTTGTTGATCCAGAGGTAGCGGCGGGAGTAAAGTGGAGGATGATCTCATCCCCAAGTGAGGGAGAGATGGCGAAGTTTGGAGCAAGCTTGTTTGATCGTTGCTGCCATTGTTGTTGGTGATGGTGGTGCTGTTGTTAGCGGAGATGTTATTGGCAGCGGCGGCGTGCTTTGGAGCTGGAACATCGTGGTTGTGCTTGCCTTCGTAAGTTGTGATAACAGACTTTGGATCGTTGGAGGCGCGTTCGACGTGCTTGCGCACGGCGCAGCCGCTGCTAGAGCACTTGTAGTAGCTCCTGTTCCAAAACAAAATAAAAAAGACAAGGAACCAGTCAGCTCTTTGGATTGATCCGGAACAGGGTCACGCGGTTCTCAAGAAGTAAAAAACACTACCGTGGATGTGGATTGCCTTTGACGACTTTCTGCCCATACTTTCTCCAGCGGTAACCATCATCGAGAATGTCGATCTCGCTCAGCGTCTGGACTACAACTCGAGGCTCGCGGATTGTTCTCTGGATGGCCGTCACCTGGTTCGATCCATCCATTCTCCTGACAGAAACAAGAAAACCAAGTTAGCTGACGAACAAGTTTCCGCGGAAAACCAACCTTTTCTTGGACTCGCTCTCCTCGTCGTCGTAAACATCCTCGCCAAACTTCTCGTCGTCCAAGCTGGAGCATGGAGACAAGTGCTCGTAGCCAGCAGCGACCGGCGGCGGCGGGGTGGCGCCGCTCCTCGGCTGATCCTCCCCAGCGGCGTCGTCGGGGATCACGGCAGCGCCGGCGGTGGAGCTCACCGCGCTCACGCTGTTATTGTAGATCGAGCAGGCGGAGCGGCGGCTGAGCTGCGGCTTGGCGTGGCAGTGCTCGCCTTTGTAGACAATCTCCGTGACTTGGCCGTCGTAGGATCTCTCCACCTTCTTCTTCACGGGGCAGCTCGGGTGCGTACACTTGTAGTAGCTTCGGGGGAACTCGCTCCCCTTGACTTGCTTCTGCCCATACTTTCTCCAGTTGAATCCATCCTCGGATGGCCGCTCCACAAAAGCTGGAAAGTTCTCTTGCTGCTGCTGCTGCTGCTGCTGTTGTTGTTGCTGCAGTGGCTGATGATGCTGCTGCTGCTGCTGCTGCTGCTGCTGCTGCTGCTGCGTGATGTGTTCAAGCTGCTGATGGTGATGCTGTGGCTCTTTGAAGCTTGCAAAGGCTTGCTCGCTGTGATCGAAGCCCTCGGCCATCAAACGCGTGAGGGAGTTTGAGTTTTGGTCCGGGTGGTGATCCATGAAAGCGGTCGAGTCGCGGAGTTGGCTCTCCTGCTTGATCGCCAGGTGGTGCTGGTGGGACATTTGGATCGGGAACTGCGCAAAGTCCTGGTGAAAGTCCCAGCCAAGTCAGAGGACAGAATACTTGTTTGACTGGAACTCTTACCAAATACGGAGGTTGCTGCTGCTGCGCAAATGGCTTGAACACAAAGTTACTGTTGCTGGAGTTGGAGTTTGAGTTCATGGATGGATCCATCTTAGTTTCCTGCGATGCGGAAACGAGTGTCCCGGTTGTGGGCGACGATGCCTGAAAAAATCGAGCCCAAAGATCAATTAAGTTGCCCGCCGGAAAGAGAAAGGGAGAAAGCGATCGAGGGAGAGATTTATGAGTGAGACAGTGTGATCTCCTTTAGCAGCTCTCTTCCTCTCTGGCTCCATCCATAGCCAGCCAGCCAGCCAAGCCAGTCAGTCAGTCAGTCAGTCAAAAGATGCTCTCGAGCAAAACCATGAAAGCGAGACCGAAGACCGGGTCAAAGTTCCTCGTGCACGATCTAACGAACGCTCGCTAAAACTAGAGACCCATGAGAAAATCCGGTAGACGGCTCGGCTGGACGCATCCGGAAGAAAAAAGAAAACAGAGAAAACAAAACGAAGAACACTGGAGAGAGTGGACAAAGCTTGTATAGTTGCGCTCTCCAAACGACTCCAAGAACCAAAGACTGGAAAGGGGAACTAGAAGAAGAATTTGATGGGAGAGTGAGTCTACAGACCTGGAGCTTGGCGGAGCTGAAGAGGACTGGCGAGTCGAGCAGCAAGCTCGAGGGGCTGATGCCGATCCCGGCGGGGATGGTGAAGCAGTTGGAGCGCGCCGGGGTGGAAATTGGATCGATTGATCGGCACCCATTTGGATTGTCTCCGCTGGCGGCATTGTTCCTGGCTGCCAGGCGCTCCGCGAAGGATGAGGACGACGATGAAGAGGAGGAAGAAGGAGCCGATGAGAGCAAGCGCCCTGGTTGGGAGGAAGAAGCTATGGAGGAAGAAGAAGAAGGAGAGGAAGACATGGAAGGAGGCGGAGGAGCCCTATTCTCCGAGCGGCGATGGTGGTCTTCCGTGGGCGAGCAAAGGAAGCTGGAGACCAATGAGGTGATGGGCGTGAGCGGTGGCCTTGGATTCCCCTTGCGCATCACGAAATCGCTCATGTCCGGCCACGGCAGCGACGATCGGCTGCTGTTCTCCGATTCCTCATCCATCATCACTGGCGCGCGCGCGATCTCCGATCGAAAAGCAAAGAGGGCGAAACGAATGGAATTATTGGGGATTGGAATGCTCTCTTGTGATCTTCACGGGACCAATTCCTCGCTCGCTCTCTCGCTTCCGATTCACGTGGTCAAACAAAGAGAGAGGGGTCTTCTTCTTTCAATCTAGTGACAGGAAGAACAAAGCAATGCCATGTCTGGAGGTGAGAGAGAGAGCGTTTCGGCAGACCCAATCCACATGGACCAAGAATGAATGCGCGGGTGCACGAGCAGCCTTCGCCATCGCCCCATTAACAGGTTAAATACAACGCGCGAAATACATCCTGGCCGCCCACAGCGGGGAATCCGACGGCTCTCCCACGAGAGGGGATCTGCACCGTCCGACCCCTCCGACGGGTAAGATTCGCGTTAACCCGGTCAGAATGATCTCGGTCGTCGGGTGTCAATCCGACGGACGTCGTTGTGGGATCCAATGGCTGGCATGCCATCCATGCATGCAGCTGCGCCCACGTCCACGTGTGCTGGCCGTGTTCGTTGGATCTCTGCCGATCGGAGGGCCCCTGACTGGTCAAAGCCCTGAAGTGAGTTTCTAGCTTGTTGCTAGGAAACCCATGGCTTGACTTGGACTGGCCACCGTAGGCAACGGGATGGGAATATTCCACGGGATAATCACGTCAAAGCGCGTGATCGCTTCGCGCGCATTACACTTTTGTGATCTCTCCCTGTGTTGCTCTTGGCGATTCATATCTTTTCCGCGTAAATCTCTTGGCCACTCGAAGACGCGCGTAGAATCCCACAGGAGATGGGGTCATTGGTGAAGCTGCTAGGCAAAAAGGCGGGGAAATGTGAAGTTTCGGGGAGGGCCTGGGCAGATTCTCACGAGCGATTCTGTCCTAGCCAGATGATGCAGCAACTAAATTCAATCTCTCCTTTGGGCGGGTCCAGTCTCAACTCACAGCACGAAATAGCTACAAGAGAGAGCATTCATTGGTATTCTTCGTTGAGATTCTTAATAGTTGGACCTTAAAGAATTGTAACATGTCTGTGTATATTTGATTGGACAATATAAAGTTTTCTGTTTCAGCTGGAAGCAATGCCTTACAAATTAGATAGTTTGGATCTTTCACAATAGCAACAGTCCTAATATTCCCACTGAGTAATCTTACAAAACTGGATAAAAAGTCAAACTATATCTACATACAAGAAGATTTTACGAGAAGTGCTCTCATGTATTTTGAATGAGGATTTTGCTTTCTTTAGAGCTGCCATGATAAAACACTACCATGTGTCTTGCTAATGCTTCAAACTAGAGCTTATGATACTCATTAAATATATTAATAACCTTTTAAATTAAAGTCCACCATTAGGGTTCATAGCATGTTAGGGCGGGAGCGCTTGGAATGGGAAGTGGCCAGTCGCAAGATTGGAGTGGTGGTGCTTGATGCTGATCCTCCGGCCAAGCCCCAGTGCGCTGCAATGCTGGTGCCGCAGGGGCGGGAGCTAGACTGGATCTTTTCGTCAAAAGCAGGGCAGGAGCAGCTACTGGCATCATCTGGCGTTGCGACGCTTATTCTCCTCTCCAGGGGAGGGCTTGGATCCGAAGAACAAGCTCCAGCTCTGGATGAATGGGAGCTTGACGAAGAAGAGGACGAAGACGAGGAGCTCAAGAAATTCCTAGGCCCGTTTCTCCTCCAGCTTGTGAGGAACAAGGCGGGGCTAGACGAGATACAAGAGGTTCCATTCGCGTGCTACCAGGACAATGTGGTATGGTCTCGGGTTCTAGAGCGAGCTTACTCTCGCAAAACAGGCATGATGCTCGTCGAGGACGTCCGCCTCGAGGGTGGCCATCTCCGGAGGAGGCTCCGCTTCAAGAGCCTTCCAAATCTCATACAGACCGAGGTGCCGCTGCTGGGTGGCGATCTTGATCTCGGTCTCGATCGAACGGACTCTCCCTCGGCCTGTTCGATCGATCACGGGGTGCTGGTTCACGCGTACTTGGCCCCGCTCGTGGCTGGCTTCAGCTTGATCAGCCGCTGCCTTGAGTCGTGCTCGGCGGCGGGAGATCCCGCGGGGGTGCTGTGCGTGGGGATTGGAGGCGGAGCTCTGCCGATGTTCTTGAGCTCCCGGATGGACGCGGCGGTGGCGGCGATGGAGGTGGTGGCGGTGGACGTGGACGAGGTGGTGGTGGACGTTGCCAGGCGGCGCTTTGGTCTCGTCCCCGCCGAGAATCTCCGCGTCCATGTGGAAGACGGCGTGGAGACTGTGAGGAACATCGCTAGATCGCGGCTCGAGGACGGTGGTGGTGCCGAGAAGGAAAAGGTGGCGGAGCATTTCTTCCACGCGATCGTGGTGGACGTGAGCGACGGATCATCGAGGAGCTGCCCCCCGGAGGAATTCGCGGAGGGGGAGTTCCTGCGCGACGCTCGATCGGCGCTGGATTCCGGAGGGATGCTGGCGATGAATGTGATGCCCCTGGGGGAAGAATCACACCGTGGGCTGTTGAAACGCATTGGTGAGGTTTTCGACGAGGTTTACCAGTTGGAAGTGAGCAGCGGTGACAACTTTGCTGTTTTCGCACTGAAGAATCCTTTGCGTGGTGTTTCGGTGCCACTCACTTGTAAGATTGGAAACTTGGTTGGCAGTGAGCTGCTAAACAATATATTCAAAGTTGAGACTTATATTTCTTGTGGAAAGAAAGCTTGGGATCGCAAACGAAGTTTTCTTGCTCGGAGAATCAAAATTTGCTCTGGTCTTTACTCGTAGGATCACAACTAGTCAGCAAACACGAGAGAAAAGGAAATGAAGCGAGCTTGTCTAGTAAGACAGAGGATCTAGCACTGCCTTGACTTCAGGAAGCTTTTCTTCAGCAGCAGTGAGCGCCTTTTGCCTCAGCTTGAGTAATTCCTTCTTCTTCTGGTAGAACACAAGAGCCTTCGCCTTCCTTTTCTCCTCGAGTTCCTGCAAATCCAGTGTTTGAGGAGGGCCGCCGGAGTAAAGAAACGAGGAGAACTCACCTTGATTGTCTCATGGTGGTGCCACCCGACTTCCTTGGACAGCTGACCCAGGAGACAGAACTTGTGCCCGGGTTTCAACCGCAAGACCCTGTTTCGATCCGATCGTCAGCCATCCTTGAAAGAAGAAAAAAGTGGAGGCTTACTTAAGAGCGTCTGGAACGACCATCTTCTTGGTCTTGTCATACGGAGGTGGGCATCCTTCGAAGACCTTGAGCCTCTCCAGAGCAGCGGCACCGCGCTTGGTCTTATGTGGGATCATACTGGAAAACATAAAGAAAAGAGTGATTGAGATCCAAGGCAAAAGAAATCTCTTACCCTCTGATCGTCCTCCAGAGAATGCGGGCAGGAGCACGAAAATGGATCGGCCCCTTGCTGGGCTTGGTGTTCATGCGCTTCCTCAGAAACCTCAGGTACTTCATCTTCTGGCGGACGAGGCCGCCCGAGAGAGCAATCTCCTCGCATCGCGTGATAACCTGGAACACAGTGGAAAGAGATCAATAGCGCATTCTAAGATCGCGAGATTTTTCTACCAGGCGCTGTCCGTTGAGGAGCTCCTTGGCGGCGATCGAGGCCAGCCGGCCAAGCATGTGATGGCGCGCATCGATCACCACCACTCGCGCGCAAGCTCCCGACCCGCTCACCATCGCGTCGCCGCCTGATCCAAAAGCCCTAGGAAAGCCCTAGAGAAGCCCTAAATCACGGGTTCCTATCCGACGGCTGGAATTCGTAGCATTTTAGGGCATGATATTTTCTGGCCAATCCAATCCATGGCCGCGGCCGCGACCGCGTCGATTCTCATCCGGATTCCAGCCTGTACGAGAGCTTTCTCCGGCGCAGAAGAGATGGAATGGCCAGGCACGGCCCGATCACCAGAGCGCAAGAGACGCTCTTTTCGGCGTTCGAGAGAATCCAGCACCAGGGCCGGAGGCCGAGCATTGGGGCGATTCTCACGGCACTCAAGGTGTGCCGCAGCTCCGGCGATGTGAGAAGCGCGAGGAAAATCCACGAGAGCGCGAGGAGTGGAGACATGTCCAATCCTTTCGTGGCCAACTTGCTTGCTGGTGGATTTGTACGCAAAATGTGGGAGCGTGGACGAAGCCAGACAGGTGTTCGAGAGCATGGAGCGGCAGACAGGGGTGTCGTGGAATTCGATCATCTCAGGCTATGCTCAAGGTGGCCAAGGCGAGATCGCTCTAGAGCTCTACTCGCGAATGGAGAGAGATGGTTGCGAGCCCGACAGCGTCACGATCTTAGCAGCACTCAAGGCCGTCAAGAACTCAAGCTCGTCCAAGAGAACGAGCTCGTGAGACTCCAGTGCCTCGAGAAGGGCCGGGCGATCCATCGGCGAACCACCAAAGCTGGGAGTGACTCGGACGGCTTTGTGGCGAATACGCTGGTCGACATGTACTCCCAAGTGTGGGAGCATGGAAGAAGCTCGCCATGTTTTCGAGAGGATTGCCCGTCCCAGCATCGTCGCGTGGAATTGCATCATTCTCGGACACGCACTGAGCGGAGAAGGAGAGCTGGCTTTCGAGTTCTACTCGCGCATGCAAGACGAAGCCTGTGAGCCAGATCGAGTGACTCTTCTCGCGGCGCTCATGGCTTGTTCGTGCTGGGCCGAGAACGAGGAGGTTGGTGGCAAAGTCATGACACGAAGATCTCTCGAGAAAGGCCGGGAAGTTCATACTCTAGCTGCGGCAAACTGGAACCCGATGACATCGTTTTGGCGACATCGCTGGTCGATATGTCTGGGAAGTGTGGGAGCTTATAGGATGCGCGTCGTGTCTTCGAGGCCGTCCGGCACAAGGATGCCGTTCTTTGGACGGCTATAATTCTCGGCTATGCTCAAGGTGGAGAAGGCGAGGTCGCGCTTGGACTATACTCGCGAATGCAAGACGAAGGGATTCTGCCAGATCGTGTTGCTTTTCTTGCCGCTCTCAAAGCTTGCTCGTGCATCGCGGACGAGGCTAACAACAACATGCTCATCGATGGCCAACCCGCAAAGTTGTGGAGTTTGAAAAGAGGAAGATAGATCCACGCGCAGGCCAGAGGTATCAAGCTCGACCAGGCCACTACAAACACTCTCCTGGACATGTACGTCAGGTGTGGAAGCATGGACGAAGCTCGACAGGCTTTTGAAGCTATGGAGTTTTGCGACGTTTTCTCGTGGACGTGTCTCGTCCTCGGATATGCTCATACCGGAGAAGGCAACTTGGCCTTGGAGTTGTTTCAATGAATGCAAGACGAAGGCTGCGAGCCGGATGCCGTGACTTTCGTCTGCTCGATCTTGGCGGAGAAAGAGGAGGGCGAGCTCGTAGATGGGACGGTGGTGAAGCTCCAGGCTCTGGAAAGAGGAAGGGCTCTTCACTCTCAAGCCGGGAGGAAGAACAAGACGAACATTTTCGTGGCCAACGCGCTGCTGGACATGTACGCGAAGTGTGGGAGCATGGTGGAAGCTTGGGAAGTCTTTGAGAGCATGGCTACGCACTGGCCGGGGAGTCCGAGCGAGCACTGAGCCTCTTTGCGAGAATGCAACGAAGACGAAGGCGGGTGTGTAGCGAACCAAGTGACACTTCTCGCAGCCTTGAAGGCGTGCTCTACTCTGGCAGAGAAGGAAGAGAGCGGCGCCGTCGATGACCAGTTCGTCAAAGTCGAGAGCTTGGAGAGGGGCCCTCCACTTTCAGGCCGAGAAGCTGCACAAGCGGGACACCTTTGTGGACAACGCGGTGATCGACATGTACGCGAAGTGCGGGAGCTTGGAGGATGCCCGCCGGGTGTTTGAGGCCATGCAGCCGCGAGACGTGGTGTCCTGGACGACGATCATTCGCGGCTACGCGGACGCCGGGCAGGGAGAGGTCGCCTTGGACCTCTTCTCTCGAATGGAGGGCGAGGAACGTCATGGCTGTGTGGCCGACGGCCTCACTTACGCGGCGGTTCTCAAGGCCTGCGGTGGCATGGCGGCACTGGAAACTGGAAGAGCGATCCACGAGAAGATCCGTCGCGAAGGATTCGAGAGCGATGGAATGGTGGCGAACTCGCTGGTGGACTTCTATGGCAAATCCGGCAGCATGGACGAAGATCCCGAGCAAGAGCTTAGTGAGCTGGAGCGCTCTCATCGCGGGCTACAGCTTCCAGGGACAAGCGCAGGCTGCGTTTGAGACGTTGGAGGGAATGCTGGAGCAGCGAGTCCGGCCGAGCGATGTTACGTACCTCTCGCTGCTTGCTGCGTGTAGCCATGCCGGATTGGTCGATCGAGGCGAGGAGTTCTTCGAGGAGATGTGTGCCAAGCACGAGATAGTTCCTGGGATCCAGCACTACACTTGCATGGTCGACTTGCTCCGAGCAAACCGGCTGAGCGAGGCTGTGGCGATGGAGGAATCCATGCCTTGTGGAGCCGATGCTGTGATCTGGATGGCGCTACACAAGTGGAAGAACGTTGGAGTTGCGAGGCTTGCGTTTGAGGCCGTCATGAAGCTGGCCAGTGGAAACATGGGTGTATTGTCCTCGGCTTGTGTGCTTATGTCTAACGTCTATGCTGGCGTTGGAATGTGGGAAGAGTATGAAAAGCTCCAGAACAGAACGCTTCGAGGTTGATTTTCAACTGATGTATAAAAGTTCTAGTCACTCCAATACGCGTTGTAAATTATTGAATTGATCTATTGCTACTTATTTCGGTCTGGAACAGTGAAGCTTCTTGTGCAGAGGACTTGTGGCCATGGTCAAACAGTCCAAATCAATCAAAGGTTTTTGCGGCATTGAGAAATGGAAATTCTTTAGCCCATCATACGTATTTTTTCCATTAGTGATTTTGGTTTGTAGTATATTCTTTTGAATGGAAATTTGCTTGTCTGCTGGTCGTCCTTAATGTCTTGATTTAAAATTCTGAAATTCAAAATAGTTGCTCCTACCGCTTGTCTGAACTGTTGGCAGCTAATCCTTTTCTAGGTCCCACTTCCATTGATTTTTGCCCGGTGGCCTAAGTACAAATGTTTTTAGGAAACAAGTTGGCCAAGCTATAATAAGAACCCCTTTCGTTGTCCTATCTGGATTGTACTTTAAGGTGAGTGGTAAAAGTTTAAAGAGCAGCAATGTAGAGAGCTCGTTGGTCGGCCTCCACTTCTCAGTTGGAATAGAGTTCCTTGTCAACGTCCAGTCGGAATTTTAGGGTTCCTCGATGTCAAAGATTCTTGTGGCGTTTCTGTACGTTGGTCTCAGTCAGAATTTTAGGGTTCCTTGATGTCAAAGCTAACTGTTCTCTCGTGGCTTGAAACCGCAAAAGAGCTATCTACTCTCCCAAGTGCATAAGTCAGCTGGAAGTGCAATACAAATACCACTGGCTGGGGTGGATGTTAGTACTTTGATCTTGTTCCGTACAAACTCTGTGTTTCAATTGTCTCTCCAAATGCTCTATTATGACATATCTTCGTTCAAATTGCCTACTATGCCAGTGTGGTGCATTGCCATCAACATGGAGGAAAGTCTTTAGTGTAGATGCCAACACACCACACTCCATGCATATGGCAGGCAGCAACCAAGAATTGTGAGGGTGGCGTAAACACTGGCAAAAACCATGTGATCTTCCCTATAAATGAAAATGTGACATATACCATCTAATAGGATTGGAGTTTAAGCCCGCTGCACTCCTCCTCCATGAAGGGTTACCTAGTTTAAAATATATTCTAGGATATTTCTTAATCTAACAGCTGTGATTTTTTGCCTCCATGCTGGCTTCATAGTATTGAAACAAACATTAAACACTGGTTACAAATGGAATCTTTTAAGGTCAGAACTAAAGAAAGAAAGCACCATTCCTTCTCATCTTTTATAAGAAGGCAAACATCATTAAGTTTCTTATAGACCATAAATATTCTTGTGATTTATTACCCGAATTTTTATGATACAGGATAAGGTCATAACTTGGTAAGAAAAGAAAGCACCATACCTTCTCATCTTCTATAAGAAGTTGGATAACTCAAATACCATTAAGTTTCTTATCGACCACAAATATTCTTGTAATACATAACCAGATTTTTTATGATAGAAGATAAGGTCAGAACTTGGTAAAAGAATGAAAGCACCATGTAACTCACTTATCTAACTTGTCACATTGAAACCATTGAACAATCCTCTAAAGAGTTTCCACTGTTACTATTACACCCTTAAATTCAACTCCAAAATTAAAGGTAACCAGACTAGACTGAATGAATGCCAAGCTTGGTATTTTAGTGATGCAAAAGAGTAATGAGTGGTTGTTGCCATATTTTTTAGGTGATTAAAATGGTGTGAAAACCACTATGATCAAGTTTATAACTTCTATTGACCCATACATCTTACTAGTAATGTTGCCTTTTACACCATTTTAATGGCCTTTGGAACCTGAGGATATTGGTATCTACACATGTTTGATCAATAATCCATAAGAGTTCTGTGGCTTGCAAGTGATTTCTTTACCTAAAGGAGCATGTTATGGCTGTAAGTGATGGCTTAATTCTTGATGGAGCCTGACTAATGATTGTAATTCACTGTTTAGCTAACTTTATGGTTTGTTTAAACAAACCTATAATACAAAAACTAAATAACATTTACATAAAAAAGCAAACCAAGCATTGATGAAATGCTAATAAATTAACTAAAATTAATTATTTTATATATTTTAATATGGATGTGTGAAAGTATACAAATACAATGCCTATACTATTATTAGTGTAATGGAATTTTAATAGCCATCGGATTGATTTTAATATAAACTAATTATTCTTATATATAAACTAAATTTTTGGGCTAATTGAATATGTATTCCATACACTCATATTGGTGAAGCTAAGGGGCAGCTCTAATTGTGTATGAGGATTTGTGTTTTTGGTTTTAATACAGGGGCAAATATTAATAGAGGTAGGTTTTTTATTTTTTTAAAATTAAAAATAAAAAAATTATAAGATTTTTTAGTGTATGATTGTGTTGGGATATAGCATTTAAATCTTTCCAATCTAAATTGATACTTTGTCAACATTCCTAGTCCCCATATTCCATTCCTTAAATGAATTAGCAACACTATGGTGGTTGTCAGGAAAAGCTTTACCATGTCATCCTGGAGGTGCAAAGTGCTCTTTTTATGCTCAGCCTGTGAAAACCAAGTGGAAGAAGTGACATAGAAGGAGGAAGAAAAAAGGTGAAAAGTCTCTACCTGGATTGAAGGAGCTCTTGCATGAGGTTACCATCAACCCCTAGCAGCTTCACAGCTTTGCATCCTCTGTGTTGCAGAGCGTCTATTGTCGTGTAAGTCATTGCGTCAGAGCTGAGAAGCTTGAAGAGCTGCAGCGCATTTTCCAGCCAGTTTTCTTTCGAGTCTAGTGACGAGGTCCAGAGGTGGTCACACTCCAGGACTGGAGCAGCGGGAGAAATCCACACTCGTGGATCTCCTGGCCAGTGTCCTTCTTGGCAAGCTTGGTGCATGCTTTGAGAATGGCCATGAAGCTTCTATCATCTGGAGAGAAGCCCTGAGCTTCCATGGACCAGAAAATTTCGATAGCCACCTCTTAATCTTGTACTTCGGTAGCATATAACTTATCAGCATGTTCTAGTGTTAGTGATTAGGCTTTATCTATTCAAGGTTTGATAATTTTAATTTTTCAAGAAAACAATAGACGATTATTTGCATTTTTTATTTTCTCAAAAATTAATTTGATAAAATCTCCACTCAGAAAATGCGGTGACAGTGCTATTCCTGTTATCGCCGCCATGGAAACACTTGCCAGGCATCGTCCGTGGAGCCACAGGTACATATCAATAGTGAGGTTCAGAGATCTAATGGCCTGAGCATCGATGTCATGGCCAATCTCTAGAGCTTTCAGCTTCACCACGGCCACCTTTCCAGCATCGATCTCGACTTCACTGCCTTCAATCAACGCTGCCAACTTTGTGCATACCTTGAGGTCCGGGTGTTTGGGAGAATTCGGAAGTGCCGCATCTGTGAAAAGAGTTCCAGTGTCAGCTGAGACTTCTCTGAGTAGCCGAGGATAAGCAACGTCTAGAGAACCACGTCCTGGGCTTGAGCTGGGATTTTTATCGAAGGTCCAGCAAGGGCGTACATGTCAACGAGCGTGCTGGCTACGAACACGTCTGCATCAAGTCTGGCCTGCAAGTGGATCGCCATTCCTGCTTCCATCACCTTGCTTCTTGCTCTCGTCACCCAGAGAGCGAAAATGCATACACGACTGGCGCACACGAGTGCTCAGGTACGTAGCAAACAAAGAGAATGAGATAAAAGTTGTGCAGAGTGTGAACGTTGGCGCTCTGGAAAAAAAGATAAGGATCCCATTGCCAAACGAGAGGAACTCTGGATGTTTTCGCTCTTGTGGATATGTTTGTGAAGTGAGTTTTCGACAGGTTGCTCTGCCAGTGTGGTATCATGGAACACGCTAGTCATGGGATACATAGAGAATGAAGAAGCAGAGCAGGAGAGTTTGCGAGTCCTAGTGCTTGGGATGCCTTTCACTGCTTGCATTGGATCCTAGACCCTCTAATATATGTGTTTTGTCCTGCATCTATAGCCGAATCTCCAAAGAAGGACAGCACCAAGATCTTCTCCACCTTGGTTGGAGCTTCGTAGATGAAGATCAGAGGTGGAGAAAATTTGCAGCTTTAATGGCTCTTTGTGGAGTGGTATCCGGTGTGGAACACCTTCATGCAGAGAAGAATAGTATGGTCAAGATAAGCGTTACTTCCCCTTGAGACGAAGCATTGAAGCGAAGTTACAATTTTGCTAGAGAAGTCAAGAGCTTGTCTAAAGGTCAAGTGAGTGAACAGCTTGCCATGCTTGGGTGCTGTAACTTCTTTGCAATAAGATCCTCTTTTTCTTCTTCCTCCTTGTCTCACGTTCTTTCCAAGCCATGTTGTGGCGAGTGGTGTTCTTTCTCGAGATTGGAATCTGGAAAGTCCAATTCATCTTGTGACCCGGAATGCTTGACGACCCATGGATAGGCAGCCTCCGTCTCGCGTCCAAGTGGAGCAACTGGAGAATGAGATCCCTGGCTTCATCGCTCACGTTCGTCCAATCGGGCAAGCTCATGGGCAAATCCTCCCAGTGACTCAACCTCATTCCCTCGATCTCAGTCCTTCAACCCAGACAAGATCTCAATGCGTTTCTCGGGGTGGAAAGACGAAGATCGACTCGAACAGAATCAATGGGAACTTTAAACACTGACTTCGAAACGAATTCCAATGAAAACTCCATGGCCTGTATAGAAAGAAAACAGAAAGAGACATCAAATCAAAGAGAACGCTGGGAACTTATTGAATCATTTGGGTTCTCTGTGAATGCAACCAGTAATTCGTGCAAAAAGAAAAAATTTCTCTTTTACTTAATACGTTTCAAACCCTCGAGGTAATGCGGAAGATCGTCTGGGATCGCTGGAGAGCAGCAGCAAAGCGCGTGAGTGTTTCTCCATCCTTTCCACCCTTCTACCCATCACAGTGACAGTTCTTTAGGGAAGACGAGGCAGCGCTTCAAAGTCCCGGTATCTTTGTCACGGTCTCGGCGCTCAAGGCGTGCAGCAGTACCCGAGACCTCGAGGCCGGGAAGCTCATTCACGCCGCTTCCATCCGAGATGGCAGCCACACGGACGTCTTCGTGGCCAGCACCGCCATCAGCATGTTCTCGCGATGCGGGAGCCTTCC